AACTGCCAACCAAAAATCCCCCCCCCCACCCCGAAAAAACTTTTTTTTTAAATTTATTTTTGAATTTCTCTTCTCCACCAAAAATATGGGGTTCTAGGGATTAAAAATCCCTACAACCCCATACATATATATCGTCACAAACAGTATATTTACCCATTATTTAATTCAGGAAAAATGCGGCAAATTCACGTTCGCGGCGCGGACGCGACGGTATATACGGCCGTCGGCCGCCCTCCGAGCTCGACCCCGCGAACGTGTTTCGTAGGTACTTGGCCCAGCTATCGGCCGCGGGCGATTCCCGTTAACGCGCCTGTAGTTGCGTGCTTCGGGGCACCGAACTGCAATGGCTGGAAGCGCCAGCCAAAATCAAAACGAAACGGTGCCCCAGCGGCTTGGCAAAACTTGGTGCGCAGGTGGCATCCCGGCTTGGCATCAATAGCTGGGCCAAGTACTGGTGGTTTAAAGGGATGCATGTTGCCCCCCGCCCTTATCGGCAGTGGCGAGGGAGTAGGGTGAGGCCGTTGATGGGGGGGGCCGGCTAACGCGCAGACCCAGTATTTTGCCAGTAGCTGCTCCTTCCATCTACTTCCTCCACCCCGCATCGAGTAGCTGCAGTGGCTGTGGCCAACACTCTCCCACGCACAACCCACTCACTCTCACACTCGCACCCGTGTTGGTCATAGACCCCACTAATAGGGATCATGGATATCGAGCGCACAATCACAGTTGGTTGGCACTAAAGTGAGCCACAGGCGGTCTTGGGGCTTGAACCCACAGCCTCCTGAATGCCACTTGTATACCTGACCAACTGAGCTAGCCTGTCTATCCAGCCAATGTGGCTGAATGGACCAAATGTGTACAACGACCCAACAGCCTAGCTCAGTGGGTACACCATTGAACTGTGGAAATACAGACCCGAGTTCAAATCCAGATGATGGAACTTGATTGATGAGTAAAACCAAATATTGCTGAATTGCCTGGGGCCGGTCAGCTCAATGACGATATCTCAAGACCCGGAAAAAAAACACAAAAAGTGTGGACAACCGAACACGAGCTCGAACCCTCACCCTCCCGATTTATCAGAAGAGCACACATGTAACTGTTACAGATAGATTAAACCGCCTATGGTCTCGTCGGCGCCGGAGCGGAATGGATCAGCTTCTTTTTTCCTTCCTCTCCCCCGCCCCTCCCCATGCGCTCAGTTGGCAGACCCATGAACTTTTGAAATAACTGACCTGCGTTCAACTTCCAGTGGAATCGGATGAGTACGGGTGCGGGGGATGAAGTTGGTTAGTTGAGCGTTGCAGCCGCCCAACTGCACGGACAGAGAGGAAAAACTTGAGAGGTTATCATAGGGAGAGTGGCTGTCGCCGTGCTTATAGACACGTGGCCCTCGTTTCCGATCATTGAAATATGTGACAGGTCCTCCAACTGAGATCATCATTGGTCAACGGAGTCCATGAGTGTGTCGACTGCGAGACGATCAACCATCTCGGTCCTCTTGTCGTCGCCAGTGTGTGTGTCTCCTTCGTCCTCCATCCTCGGCGAGGATGAAGCTCGTTGACACGATGACCTTCTTTCTCTTCTTTCTCTTGACGCTGTGCGTCACGTCAGCCGTGTCTGTGGAGGCTGGCGGGGCACCTACGTCTTCTCAGTACCTCAGGCATGCCGGTGATCTTCGAGAGCTGATTAAGGCGGAGGGCGGGTCCGTTCGTAGCTGGGGTGGGGCTCTGGAGGAGTTTCCCAATGCCTCCCTGGGAGCAGGTATGGTGACGTTGGAGGCCGGCTTCATGATGTTGCCCGAATACTCCGACTGCCATTTCCTCCTCTACGTGATTGAAGGATCCGCCTTCGTGGGACTGATGTCACCTGTCGGGATCCCCACCAATGCCAGGAGAATCGAGCAAGGGGACGTGTTCGCGATTCCCCGAGGGTGGGTGAGTTGGGCCGTCAACTGCGGAAGTTCTCGGCTGCGGGTGTTCGCAGCGTGGGACACGTCGGAGGGGCATCACCGCGGCGAGTGCACGCACTTCCATCTGGCCGGCGCATCGTCGACCGCTACCGCAGCAGCGGAACATCAGAAGGACACGGGTTCGATTCTTCGCGGTTTCAGTAAAGATCTGCTGGCCAAAGCGTGGGACGTTGACGTCAGCCACGTGGAGCGGCTGCTGCGGTCCCAGCACGGGAGCGCCATTGTCAGACTGCCTTCTCGCTCAGGGACCAGCCGTGCCACGTGTCAAGATGTTGTCAATCAGGTTGCCGACACATGGACGAAAACATCGACGATCAGTCAGCTGGCCATGGGATTGGGTGATGACGTCAACGGAGAGCAGGGGCCGTCCTCCGCTTTCGGTCTCTTGCCGCTCCCTGGTGGCGAGCACGTGTACAGGCTGGACAGATCGTCCGCTGACGTGGCGAATAAGGGCGGGAAGCTTTGGTTGCTGAATGTGCACCGAATGCCAGCGCTGCGTCAGCTGGGGATGGGCGCGTACAGACTGGTCTTGCGGCCAGGGGCGGTGGTGGGCCCGGCGTGGTCAGTGAACGCGCACCACATCGTGTACATCATCAGAGGTAAGGGGCACGTCCAGATCGCGGGTCCGGACGGGCGCAACGAGCTAGACGCGGAGGTGCGCGCAGGACAGGTGGTGGCGATCCCGCGGTTCTTCGCGGCGTTGAAGGTCGCGTCAGAGGAGGAGCCGTTGGAAATCATCTCGGTGACGTCGTCGTCGATGCCCTTGTCGTCCTTCCTCTCCGGGACGACTTCCCTGCTGAAGAACATGCCGTTGGATGTGGTAACCCACGCGTTCAACATCGACAGCGAGTTGGAGGAGCACTTTAGGGAGAAAAGGAGGGAGGTCACTGCCATCCTGCCGCAATCGCATTCGTCGGAGAGTCAGGACTTGTCGACATCGTTCCTCTCCGGCTCGAGGTCCCTCTTGTAGAACATGCCTCGTGGAGGCGGAAACCGAGGCGTTCAATGTCGACAGGAGGTTAGGGGAGAGACATCAGCGCCGTTGACCGCAATTGCAATCGGCTGAGTTGGACGGTCCGAAAAATGTCATAATAGTAACATGGAGATGAACCACGCAATCGACACTAACCAGTTGGAGTTGGGGATGAGATGTTTTTGAAAAGTCAATGGTCGTAGATGTAATTCCGGTTCTGCCATGATCGGAGTGTCAGAAGAATGTGTAGAATAGGTGACGTACAGTGAACTGCGTGTAAAGAAGACAGCCAGAGCATCGAGACGTACGGGAATATCTTGCTGGGCCGTATATGACGTCAATTGCGGGAAGATTCAGAATGGTAAGAGCCCAGGTGGTATGTATGTGGCCTCGGTAAGTACGTATTATTGCGGTAAGTACTTGTTACCGCGTCATCGTTCTCCCAGGCAGAGCTAGTCCGTGTTAGTTCCATATCTGCAGGAGGGAGCTCCAATGTGCACGAAGGATGTCAATCGACACGTGTATAAAGGAATTGACACGTGACGGGAGTTGCTCTGCGGACTAAAGAGAGTATTCGACACCATTAGCAGAACATTGACACGTGGCGGTATACTATGCGCACGATGGAGAGCTAGGCGACACGTGTAGCGTGCGATTGACACGTGGCTTTACATGTTATGAGTAAGTGACACGTTCAGTAAGAATAAGTGGCGCACAGCCCCAGATTCTGGAAGCTGAAACTATTTAGGGAGGGGAGTGGGTACGTGCATGGAGAAGGGAATGTGATTAGTGCCAGTGCTCAGAGGGGAGGGTTTGACACGTGTCTCCTCCTCATGGAGACGAAGCCTTCACCACGTGGCTGCACATCTGAGGTAGATCGGGAAGGATGAAGGGTCGTTGGCATGTGTGCAGAGGCCACGTTGGATCGTGGGCTGTCACACGTTGTTGGTGTTACAACGTGTGATTTCAACAAGCCTATCACATCACGAGGGGCTGTAAACGCTTTTTGTCGGCTTGTTGGGGTCTTACTTACAGTGCGAACGCGTGCCGATCGAAGGCATTGATGAGAGAGAGTCGTGAGGTATTCTTAGCGAGCCTGAAAAGACAATGTGCGACCATAACCCTACGTATCTGATACACGAGCAATTATAGTACACTGAAAGACTGCTACCGTACACTGATTGGTTAACTTTGTTCTGTTAAGGAGCAATTGTAGTACACTGATATGTTAACTTAGCGGTAGCAGTCTTTCAGTGTGTGGGTTAAGGAGCAATTATAGCACATTGATTGGTTAACTACGTGGTTGCCCTTTGTTAAGGAGCAATTATAGTACACTGATTGGTTAACTTAGCCATAGCAATCTTTCACTGTGTGGGTGAAGGAGCAATTATAGTACATTGATTAGTAACTACGTGGTTGTCCTTTGTTGAGGAGCAATTATAGTACACTGATGGGTTAACTTAGCCATAGTAATCTTTCAGTGTGTGGGTTAGAGTCGTCTGGTTAATATTAGTGAGGGAAAATGAGCTCCTTGAAAATTGCTTCGACAGTTGTTTGCGTATTCTCTGTGGATTCGAGCCGTCGTGGTATCCAATCCACAGCTACCTGCGTGGACAGTGCTTTGCGTAATCATTCCTTGACTCACTTTCAACAGTCGTGGTTGTGTAGGAATACATAAGTGAGAGGATGAGATAGATGCGTACTTCCAAGAAAGACGAAATAGATGAGAGAAAAATAAAGGTCACCTTTAACCAAAAAAAAAAAAAAGGTTTCGCCGCGGGGAGGTGTTTACCTTTTCCAAAAGAGCAGTCACCAATGCTTTGTGTAATCAATCCTGGAGTGAGTGTGAATCCACGTGGGTTTCTGAGAAATCACGTGGGTTTCTGAGAAATCGTGGTCCACGCGGACAGCGTTTCGCGTGCAGATGCTTCTGTGGTTCATGTGATCGTCTGGCAGTGGATTTGGTGGTGCCGGTCGATTGTGTGTGTGTGTGTGTGTGTGTTTTACATCGATTGTGTTTTTGACATTAAAAAAAAAAAAAAAAAAAAAAAAAGAGTAAGAATAGAAGCAATCTGTCATTGAGTGGATTCGAACCCTCGTGGGTAGGAAGGGCAACTGTGGTCTGGTTGAGACTGACTGTACAGTGCTTTGCGTGATCTATAAATAAGTGTTGTGCTTTGCGTGATCTATAAATAAGTGTTGTCGGATTGATTTTCGTGGTCTACCCGTCATACCCGGAATACAACGTACGGTCATTATAGTTGTATTTCGACAGAAAGATGCCTCAAATACAGTTATAATGACCGTACGTTGTATTCGGGGGAAGAAGGAAGTGAGGAACGTTGATCTGCTTGGACCTTTCTGTGCGCTTGTACCGACTTGGTTTGTAAAAAGCAGTGCTCTTCTTGGACTGTGATTTGTGTGCACAGGTTTGTGGTTCCTGTCGACTTTCTCGCAGTGCATTCGGTTGTTCACCGTTCAGGCTCATAATTAGTATTGTGGGTCCTTCCTTTGTGAAAAGCAACTGTGATGCGCGTCGAGAACCGTTACGGGGAAGGAAGAGGTTAAAGGCGATTGTCGCCGTCGTTCAGACAAGTAAAAGGAATGACATTTATTTGCTTCAGCTTGGCGAAAGAAGACTGATCGTACAGCGCTGGGGTGACTTTATCGTCGTGGCATGTGAAGGAACTGTGATGTGATTGGAGGTTGGTCTGTGTGCAGGATTGTGGTTTCGTGTGAGAGCTGTCGTGGAGGGGGTTCGTGTGTGGAGCAGGCTCGTAGGTATGGCGTGATATTCCTTTTGTAGAAAGAGACTGTGATGTGCGTCCAGAACGGGAGAAAATGAGTATAGAGGGCATAGTTTTCTAACAGTAGGACTTTTTCTATGCTCCCGACGTGATTGCGGTCAGATTCATTCAGATCTGGTCGTGATTGTAGTCAGATGCGTTTTGGAACGTACTAGTGTGAGCAGTGAAGTAATGTCACTGTTTGGGCCTCGCTCCACTACGCACCAAACAGTAATTGAGAATGAATCTTCCGCTAGAACGTGGACAGATACAGAGCTAAGTTTTCCTCTTTTGTGCATGCGGGGAGTCGTAGTGGAGCGATGCCCTTTGTTGCAGCATATGACGGAGAAAAAGGGAAACTGGAAAAGATTACAAAAACCGAAATGCAGTCTTTCGGGAGATCCGTGGAAATCGGAGCTACGCAAAGATCATGAGAATGGCCCCTGCGCATTCTAATAATAAATGAAAATAATGAAAATAACGAAGAAACGAAAATTTAAAGGGGCAATTGCAAGAATGGCGCGTTCTTTTTTTTTTTTTTTTTTTTTTTTTTCATCCTGGTGGTGGTAAGAGAAGTATAGCGCGTTCTTGAAGTTTGGCAGCAGAACTGTTATAGGGGTCCGAGACATCTATTTTTGGAAGGAAAGTGGGGGCCCCGCCAGCAAATATTTTTGCTGTGAAACTACCGGGACCTCTAAAGCTGCAACGAAAGATACCATTTTTGCAACGAAACTTGGGCCCCCGCCAATATTTTTGCTGCCAAACTTCAACAGGCGCGCTATTTCTGCTTTACCCGATTATAATTTAGTAATATAACTCCAGTCCATGTGTGCGCTTATGATCGGAGAAACATCGAAATGGACGTGCGAGAGATGAGATGAAGATGAAGATGAAGGGCGTCCCCGCATCCCTCACCACGTGTACCAAACGAGGATGAATTTTCCGCAAGGAGATGGAAAGATACATCGCCATCGTCCCTCTTTTTCTGTATTTGTTGACCGGTGCGGCGGGGCGGTTGAACCAGCACCCGTTTATTACGGTTTATGCCAGACACTTGTGAAAATTCGCACGCATTAAAAAAAAAAAAAAAAAAAAAAAAAAGAAAAAGCTCTCACGCATAAGTACCACCTATGCAACGCTGCCCAAGACCCCGGGTTGCTCATGGCTTTCCTTTTTCTCCCTTTGTCTGTGTACATGTCCTTCCATCGAAAAAGCATTTTTTAATACTCACTGTTCATGCAATCGAGAGGGCAGTTTATGTAATAGTCCAGGCTTTGCATGGGAAAACTCGTCGATCGAGCTGGTTTTCAGGTCATGCCGCTGCTGCCATGTGGTGGCGTAGACGACGAACGCAGGAAGAGCGGAGTGGTAAGGGGAAAAAGAAAAGAAAAAGTAGAAAAGAGAAGAAAAGAAACGAAATAATAAAAGAAACAACTGCGGACGTGGCAGATCTTGAGTATGCGTAAGTTGAAAGAAAAAACACGCGCGCCGGCAAAGAAATCACGCGCGGACTTCGAAATGGCAATCTCCGTCGAAAAGTATCCGTTGGCCTTTTTTTTTTTTCTTCCTTTCTTCTCTTTCCCCATCTGACATCACGGCCGCAGTACGTTCGCTGCCCTCTAGGAACTCGCACCTGGTTTCTTTGCCGATGCATGTTTTTTTTGGCCCCCTGTGGAAAGCTGGTGTGACATGAACATACTTCCCTCAAAAACAGAAAAGAAAAAAAAAAAGATGACGAAGGACTGCTGTATGGTAGTGCTTGCTCGGCCCGCAGGTGTGTTGAAGCAACTGCTCCTGTACTTGATATGTTTCAGGCAGCCGGTTGTCGGACTGTATGAATATTCGTGTGTGTTGTTCCACTCTTGTGATCACTGTTGTAACGTCGCTGAAGGAATGATTAATTTTCCTGTTCGTAGGGAGCTTCCGCTCGACGAAGGACAAAAAACGGCATTTCCGGGTCCGACGCCTATAGACCCGCGATCATTTCCGGAGATGGAAGCGGGTTGATGTCGGAGGTGGGAATGAGGTTAGTAGGAGTTGAAGAGGGTGATGAGTTGGTGGATTCCCCCTGAGGAGGACAGCGTGGCGGCTGTCGAAACCGGTCGGGGTGCCAATAGCCACCGGCGTTTTCAATGAATTGTTGTTACATACGACTGTACTGTGCTTTTTGTACTTGTGCATTCTGCACCGTGTACTGAGTATGTATGATGTTTGATATCTTGTAGGATATCTCTCTCTCTACGATCTTATCAAATCAAATATCAAAAACCGGCAGCCGGCGAACCCTATGGAAGACTTAATCAGATCCAAATTCAATGGATCCAGGTTTGAAAACACTCCTCTATGTAAGATATAATGATGATTTGCTATGGGCGTTTACCTAGCTGAGCAACTGCCTTTGTTTGACAAAACAAAGAATGAAAGAAAGAAAGAAGAAGAAGAAGAAGAAGAAGAAGAAGAAGCTGTGCTTGGATTTGTTGGGTAGAGGCGCTTGCTGTAAGTCTTGCTCAAGCATAGAGTGCTGATAGGCAAATAATAATATGGCTATTCGCAGAAGCCTCACAATGTATATCAGACCGCAATAAAATGAATGAATTGGTGCAGACAATCAGCAGGGAAGGAACGATACAGAGCAGGTGATGCTCCCCACCAATAGATGGAGCCTATCCCGGGTGCTAGTGGTGTTGGGTTTTACCAACACCAGCAGCACTACAGGGGGTGTTGCTTGAAAAAAAAAAAAAAAAACAAAAAAAAAAACAACAACAACAACAACAACAACAACAATAAGCATGGCCCCTGCGCAAGGATGACACGCAGAAATCGATTGAGTAGGGAAGGAACATTTAGTGAGGCTGCAAATGCTTCATAAGCAGCCTGCCGCTGCAGCGGGCATAGCTTGGTCTCCAGCTTCCTGCTCTTATTCAGGAGCATATATTACACTAAATTCACCTTCAGGCGTTGCAGCAAATGTTTTTTTTTTTTTTTTTTCTTTCTTTTTTGCAGCTGGTGGTTGTTGATGCGTTTTGCTTGCATTTGTCGAGTAGAGTGTAACTGAATTCGCTGATTTTTTTTTTTTTTTTTTTTTTTTTTTTTTTTTTTTTTTTTTTTTTCAACTTCCACCAAGGTGGTTGGAGATGGTGAAAGGTCCTGGAGCACCTTAGTATATCTAGCAGCTCGGGCCCAGGGGCTCCAATTTATTGGAGAGGAGGATAACCTGCGGGAAAGGGGGTCCAGCATCTCTCATACAGAAAATATGTTGATAAGTGTTACCTGATGCCTGGGGTCGGTGGGCCGCATGGTGCCTCTTCAGACCTGCGGTCTTGCCCCGAACACGACGTACGGTCAATGTAGCTGAATTTGGTGCATCTTTCAGTCTAAATTCAGGTATAATGACCGTACGTTGTATTCGGGGGAAGACTGTAGTAGGACTGCAGATAAGTACTGGTATTACTACCTGGCTGAGTTTGCTGTGAGTACCACTGCTGCGTAATGTGCAGAAAGGCAAATCTAGCTAGGCTACCAGAGTGGCCGGGGGTCACTTGCCTGGCCAGGCCAAAAAAAAAAAAAAAAGTTTTTAAATTTTATTTTTATTTTAAATTTGGTCAAGAATTTCGATGGGACCCTGAGGCAAAAGTTGTCGTATGAACCAGGCCGGAGTGCCTGGATCATACGACATTTTGGCCGCCCTTTGTTGGGAAAAAAAAAAGAAAAAAAGACAAAAAGTTGTTCAGTTAATTTTTTTTTGCATACCATGTTTTTTTTTTTAATTTTTTGGATTTTCTTTTTTTTTGGTGGGATCTTCCTTGGTCCTTGCATGGGCTGGCCACCCGGGAGGGGAGTAGTGGACACGGTGTGTGACTCCAATGCACCGCGGGTGCGGTGTGTTTTTTTTCGTTTTAAGGGGATGGGTATGTATGTATTTCCGTGGCGACCTATTGGTCGGTCTTGCTTCTTTATTTGTTTTGAA